CCTGGTACCTGCTCTGCCGAGGATCCCACCTCTGGGACCCTCCTGACCACTACCACCAGCAGCAGCAGCAGCGCTCGGTCGTGCCCAGCTGAAGCAGGAAAGGATTCGTGTGCAGCTCCAGAGGGGAGCAGGCACGAGCCCCGTTGTGGTTGGTTTGGACACATCTGCTCCCGTGGCTTCCCAGGACTGGTTTCCCACTCCCTAATCCTGACCTTCCTTTCCAACGTGCTCAACTCTGGAGCAAGGCCGAGCCCTGCAGCCACAGCCCCGGGCTGGGACAATCACAGAAGCAGCCAGGCTGGAAAAGCCCTTTCAAGCTCATCCAGTCCAACCATTCCCAGCCCTGCCAAGGCCACCACTCACCCCTGGCACTGAGGCCTTGTCTACACGGGCTGTGAACACTTGCAGGGACGGTGACTCCAGCCCTGCCCTGGGCAGCCTGTTCCAATGCCTGAGCACCCTCTGGGCAAGGAATTGTTCCTCAGCTCCAGCTAAACCAGCGCCTGACCCCAGACTAACTCTGGTCTTGACCTGAACACTAAGGGTGCAGGAGCTGTTCTTACATCCTGTGTTTTGTCCATCCCTGACAGATGTGAAGAGCTTTATCCACATTCAAGTGACTTCAACCTGGTGAAGTTTCCAGCCGATAAAACCCCCTCACACGAACCTGGGCTCAGTTTGTTGCATTGATTTATACCCAAATGGGCAAACTACAACGCACTGAGTGTTCATGGAGATCACTCACACAGCCCTCAGTCACACAGAGCAGGTTTGCTCCTGCACCAGGGTCCTTCCAACAGGAAGAGGAGCCTCAGCCACCTCTAAGTGACACAAAGAGCAGAGGGGAAAGGAACGGAGCAGGGAACCCTGCACTGGACAGTCCCACACAGAGAGAGCTGCACTAAGAACCGGGGCTGGGGAGCCTCGCTGTGCCTGCTGACCTGTTCTCCACCACAGAGGAATCCCATGGATCTCCAGCAGAGGTATCGGGTGGCTTCTCCCCAGCTCCAGTGGCCCCTCAGCAGCATTCAGCAACTGAAAGAAAGTCTTAATACACAAAACAGGACCTATTTTTGCATCCACCCCTCCAGGAGAGTCAACTGCACGGAACAGGCTGCCATGAGAGCAGCGCTGTGCCCCCAGGAGCACGACGGGAAGCTGGGACACACAACCCACAGCTGCTCCGGGGCAGGGGCAGGATGGATGGGGAGAGCCCTCAGCCTCTGCAGACCAAGTGCAGCGGGAGCTGGAGCCAGCTCCCAGCGGAGTCTGCAGCCTGAATCTGCCGGCAGAGACCAGAGCTGGAGGCGCTGCAGTGCTCAAGCCCAGACCCGCTGTGGGCACACAGGGATGGGGGTTCCGGCACAGAGGACCCTTCCTCATCATCCTCGTGATTCCCTCTGCCAGAGACTCACGTGCTTCGGATGCCAGGCACAGGAGGGGCATTTGAGGGTGACCACAAGGGAGGAGGGTGACAGGGCAGGGGTGGCAGCTGATGCCCAGCGCCCTCAGCCAGGAGCTTGCACTTCGCTAGAAGGTGCCTTGAGTAAAATCAATCCTTTCCCTCCAGGATTTAACACGCTTATGAAGCGAAAGCAGCAGCTTCTCACCTCCAGGGACAGGGACGAGGACAGGGGGGGCTCCCTGCGTGACCCAACTGACCAGGAGCTTCCCTGTAACCTTGGTTCAGACATAACTAAGATGAAATTGCACTTGGTGATTGTCTCGTTACACTTGGGTTTTTTGTCCTTCCTAAAACTAGATTTATTTTCTGTACAAACTTGGCTTGAAATATAAACCACATAAAATTCCCATTGAAAATAATGAGAATCCAGTATCAAAGATGAAGTCTCAAGAGAGACAAGGGTTGGGGGGAGGAAGCAAAGAAGAGCAAAGGGGCAGGAAAAGGAACGACGACAACAAAAGGAGAGGAGGAGGAGAGCTGGGGAAGGGGGGAACTAGTCTCCCACATCGGAGTCCCGGTCACCAATGAGCCAGAGGACGTGAAAGCTGAGAGCCAGGAGCCCTGTTCCAATGAGGTCCCCCAGCGCTGTCAAGTATGGGATGGAGAAGTTGTCAGGATCGAGGTCCCTGCCCCACATCCAGTGCACCATCCAGTCAGCAATGTACAGGAGAATAAGAACCTGGGGGGCAGGAAGAAAAGAGCCACGTCAGCCACAGGTCCAGACCTCTGCGACCCCAGGCTTCATGGGGGCAGCTCAGACACACACAACCTCATCCCAAGGGATCAGAGGTGGTGGGAGCTCAGAACCACCTTGCTGGGTCCTGCCTAAGATCCCATCTCAGTCTCCCCTCTGGCAGGTTCAAGCCATTCCCCTTGTCCTGTCCCTACACCCCTTGTCCAAAGCCCCTCTCCAGGTTTCCTGGAGCCCCTTTAGGCACTGGAGCTGCTCTAAGGTGTGCCCTTCAGGAGCCTTCTCTTCTCCAGCTGCCCCAGCCCAGCTCTCTCAGCCTGGCTCCAGAGCAGAGCTGCTCCTGTGTCCTTCCCAGCCTCTGCCCTATCCCTCTTTAGCTTCACACCACCATCAAATTCAGGCTTAAAAGGGAGAACACGGGAACTTAAACACTAGAAAGTCTAAATTGTGCATCTGGGTTTTCAGCTCTAACCAGAATGAGCTTAAAGAGATTTGGGCAAAGAGGGGACTCGGAAGCACACGGGAAATATTTAACCCAGAAATAAAAGAGCAACTGCCCAGCAGCTGAAACCACCCGGGAGGGATGTTCCCCCCCATCAGTGCAATGAGAGGCTTGTACTGGTGCCTAAAGACAGAAGGAACCTGCAGTGGAGCCTCTCAAGTCTTAGGTGTGGGACAAAGATCTATTGCTGAGGGCTCCGGGGCTGGGAGGGTCCCGCTCAGGAGCCACCTTTGTGGCACACCAGCACCCGGTGTGCCCGAGCACCCGGCAGGAGATCCCACCCTGAACGTGGCCTCCCGGCTGCCCGCTCTGCTCCTGCCCCTCCTGGGTGCTCTGAGCCACTCCCTCACGCTGGGCACAGCTCCCATGGGCAGGAAGCTCCCCAGCCAGGGCACCTTTCCTGCCCTCCAGCACAGGCAGCCAGGTCCTGCAAGAGGCTGCTGGATTCCTGCACTGTGCGTGGGGCAGGTCTCTCCCCTGCAGGGCAGGACAAGCCACACAAGGCACAGGGGTCCCTGCTCATTCCACAGCCTGTTTTCTTCACCAGCTGTTGTAAACTGGCTGAAGCACCACATAGGATAGATTCCCCCTGGTGTGTTAAACACTTCTGCTGTCAGAAGGACTTAAAGGAGACAAAAGAGAGATTCAAAACTTGCCGAGAACGGCAGGAAGGAAAAACTGTGTGTGCAGGTACCGACAAAGAAGGATTTATTCAGTTTGATACCAGCTCACTTGACAAATTGAATCTACTTGGCAGAGCCCTCCCTGGCACACAGATCACTTACCCAGGGACAGGGTTTATGGCTGTGCCTTCAGGAGCGCAGCTACAACTCACGGACATGGCAGTGCCCCCGCACTCCAGGCTCAGGGGCTCCAGCTTACCTGGAGAAGTGCAGCCGTCATGTAGAAGACGATGAAGATGAGGGTGAGCGTAGTGTGTCCTCCTTGCATGGAGCTGATGGTGTAAAGGAAAACCAAGTGTCCAGGCACCACCAGAAGGAAGAGCACACGAGCAGAGCGAGAGTTCACATCTGCAAGCACACAAAGGTGGAGTTCAGGCCTAAGACAGGCTTGAGCACACACAGCTCTGCAGCCTACGCGGGCTCCAGGGGACGAGGCAGCTCAGCTCCAGGCAGATCCAAAGCAGGGAGCAGCACCCTCAGCCCTGCGCTGCAGACTTACGCTGGAAGTTGATGACCCAACTGCCAGGACACCCGAGGACTCTGCACCGAGCTCAGCAGGAGACCTTAAATCTGTCCCCAGAGCAGAAGCTGCTCTGACCTCAGCTCCCAAAAGGCCTCGTGTCCCACTCTGACCGTGCTCGTTATGGAGGTGCCAGGATTTGACTGGGAGCACTGAATTTCCTTGGAGCTCTGCCTGCGCCTGGGCTGGGGATGTGCTTTCTGACCGCTCACACCACGCTGCACCTCCGGCCCCCCCGTGCTCCCCAGGACCAGCCCTGCCCCGCAGGCCAGGAGCCAGGCTACCGAGGCTCTCGAGGAAGTCTGGAGCGTAACCACCTCTGCCCACACTGTGCTGGAACGTGGGGCCGGGCTGTGCTCTGCCACAGCTGCCACACACAACAGAGCTGCTCAAAGCCTTCATCAGCGAGAAGCTTCCTGGAGCTGCAGCTCCACAACCCAGCAACCTCAAGGCAGGTTTCGGTATCCTGGACACATCTGGAAAGGATTTAGAGGGTGGAGAACTTGCAGTACTGTGGCAGCCAGGGCAGGGGACACCCAGCAGAGCTCTGTCCCCTCACACAAGGGCTCTGCTAAAGGTCTCACTGTCTCTAGAGGCCACGTCCCTGAGCTCACAACTGCCTCCGAGCAGGCTTCAGCCCCCATTTCCTCTGGCGCTGCTCCAGCCACCCTCACAAAGATCAGCCCGAAGTGAAGCTATTTCGAGGCCCAAGCTGAGTACCTGAGCTGAAGAACGTGCTGCAGGGGCTGGGGCACTTGCGAGGGGCCGTGTCAGGGCTCTCTCCAGGCATCCCACTCATGTGCAGGTAAGTAGAGATGCGACTCGCCTGCACTGCCACCAGGTTGCCACCGACACCTGCAGGACAGGAGAGAGCAGTAAGAAGACGTCCCCCTGCTATAAAGAGCTCTTCTGAACAGCCTGGGATTGCCAGGGGCTGGAATCATGCAGGCCCGTCTATTTTGGACTGAATTCCACTTCTGCAGGATGTAAAGAGCCGGGACAAAGCACACTGTTCTACAGCTTCCCCTTAGGCCCCTTAGTAACACAGATGCAATTCCATCACTGCAGCTTTGATTGGAAGGAAAGAGGTGAGACCAAATGATGAGTCAGGCACCAAAACAGACACAGGAAGTTTAAAGTTACCAGGGTTTGATTGGAGCTGTGGAAGCCACTTGCACAAGATGCTCTAGCTCAGAATTAACCCCATTTCTTGCAGTAAGTAATGAAATAAAAGTTTGTCTGGTTCATTACGCAGAAGGGAGGTCACAAGTTTGTACCTTTCCTGGCTCTGAGTTGCAAATCTTTATGTCATCAGGAGCCACAAGGCACATAACGTGGGAGATGGGGTCTTCAGCAGCCAGGAGGAGTCAGGAAGTGACTCAGAGTGTGCTGGGCCCCCGGGACAACAGCCTCCCTGGGGACAGGCTGGCACCGGGGGGAGCCAGGCTGCTGCAAAGCTCCACTCCAACCACCACCGCGCGGCAAGAGCCTCCTCGACCTGCCTGACGTGGGGAACACGGGACAACCCCAGCGCTTTCCAGGCACGGCAGCGCGCGAGCGGGAGGCACTCACCGTTGATAACGGGTGTGAAAACCGCCATCCCAGCGAAGTTTGGATCCGAGACCGTCCTGTCCAAAATTAAACCCCCAACGCTGCGGGGGGAAGGTTGAAGGTCAGAGCTGAAAGCTCAGCGGGAGCACCCCTGCTAGGCACAGAGGGCTCTCTCTGCTGCAGCGTGTGCACCCAGGGGCGACACGTACCCCCATCAACATGCACCTACGGCTGCGGCGGTGGCCCCTGCGGCCTGCGGCTGCTGCCCGTAAGTGTCAGTATTTGGTAAGAGAAGACAGTTTTAGCAGGATCTTCTCTCATTGCTGCCAAAACCCACCCGAGACTCAATCCCCCGATGCACAGTTCACTGCAGTGCAGGAATCAAAGGCAATCCTGCCCATCAGAGGGCAGAGGGAGCTCTTGTGCAGGGCACTGCTAAATGGGGCCTGTGCTCACCCCTCGGCCGTGCCAGGGTCTCCCTGTGCAGCAGCTGGGACATTGCTAAGGCCCTGGATTCCTGCAGGAATCCCTCCTGTGCCCCGGGCCCTGGAGCCCGTGTCTTTGCCTAGAAAACACAACGTGACCTCCAGTTTCCTGGCAGTGGGGACTGTGGGAGCAGGAGAGGTTTGATCCCTCTTGCTCCAGACCGGAGCAAGGGCTAAGAAGCTGAAAGGGCAGGGGCAAGGGGTGCCTTGCCTGGCTGGGTTTGCCTCCCCACCTGCTGATAGCCATTGCAATGATGACGGGCTCCCAGCCGGAGTACAGCACCTCCCGGGTGGCTGCATTCTTCTTGGCAATGATGATCCAGATGGGCAGCAGGGCGATGAAGAAGGCGCATACCAAAGGATTCACGTAGGCTTTGCTCTCTGAGGGGGAAACAAACAGAGGCAACACATCAAGGACACTTCCTGCTGCAGAGAGGTGGGGTGCTGAGCTCCCCAGACCTGCCTACACGCTGCTGCCAGCCCTGGAGTCAGGAACTCCAGTAAGGGCAGGCAAAGTGGACCTCGGCTCCGCAGGACACGGCACTTCCCTCCCCTGGTGTACTCCCAGGGGCTTGAGCAGCAGCTCCAAGCAGATCTCTTCCATTTCAACCGCTCACTCCCACTCCTGGGCAAGACCTCCCAGTGTTGCTTCACCTTTGGCTGAACCTGGCTGAGTCACATCCCTTGGCCAGTGGCAGGGAAGGAAGGTGGAGGGTAGGGAGGAGGAAGGGTAGAGCCTGCAGCTCTGCGCTGAGGGTCCGCGCTGGTGCCAACAGCACTGAAGACAAAATCCAAGCTGCTTTCTCCCACTGCTTTAGCCACAGCCAAGCCCCTGGCGCTTGGAAGGGGACAACCTCTCCCTTAACTTCACCTGGTGAGAAGGAAGTATTCAGAGCACTGCCAAGACTGTCTGCAGCTAAAAGGCAATAAGACAACCTGTTTCCTCTTCCTTATCAGTCCTGACCAGGTCTCACCAACTGAGGTAGCTTCCAAGCCCCCCCAAGAACAGAAAGGGTAAAGGAAAAGGGTGAAATGAGAGGGAGATGCAGCAGCACACAGAAACACCAGGGAGAGACAGAGGCCTTCTCTTGCTCCTCACCCAGCTCCTTGTACAAGCCCCAGCTGATCCCTGAAAGCAGAGCCAGGGTGATGAGATCCCCCAGGCTGGCAGCAATTGGCGTGGCGACGTTATCAGGGTTGATCCCCATCTTCCTGGATCCGATGATGACCCCAATCATAATCATGCCTAAGGCAAAAAGAGGGAGAGAACAAGATGAAGCCAAGGGGAACCCAAGCATTCAGAAAGAGGCATAGGGAGGGTGTGCAGGGTCCGTCTCTCACCCAGAACAAGGGAAGCAATGAAAGCAGTAGCCACGCTGCTGGCACACAGCAGGACAGCGTGGTCAATGCTGAAGTGCCCATCTGGGATCCATCCGAACACCACGGCTGCGATGGAGGCCAGGAAGCCAACCACGGTGGCCTGAACCTGCAAACGAAAGCCAGGCAGTCACTGGGAGGACCAGAGCAGAATGGTGCTGGGCTGAGGGAAGAGGGAACCACCACCCAGGGCACTGCTTCCTGTGGATTAGCAGGGAAACACCAAACTGTTGTGGTAAGTGGCTGTGGGACAAAGAGGTGCCGTTTCCCTCCCCATCAGAGGTGCAATATTGACAGTCAACAGCAAACCCCAGGCTCCGGAACTGGGCTTGCACCAACTACCAGTGTTTCCATTTCTTCTCCTTTTTCTTACCTGTATCAGAGCCATGTTCCCTGTTATCATCTTCCAGAGCTCTTTGGGTGTATCCATTTGGCCAATATTAGCCTGCAAGAGGACATCATATCATCAGTGAACCCTGACACCATTTTGCCCTTGTGACCAGTCAGATTCCAGCCTTTCAGCCACGCAGGTTTGGGCCAGGAGCAGGGAAGAACAACGACCTCACATCCTTAGCTCTTCGGGGAGAGCAACTCTGGAGCAATGGGCTGTGTGTACCCTGCTTTACCACCCCAGCCTGGGATGTCACTCGGGCTGTCACCCTGGGTAAGCACAGTGCCTCTTCCAACAGCCACTCTGGTCTCGTGCTCCAGACATCAAACCTGCTCCTACTTTCAGCATCAGCATCTTCTTCCCAGCTGCGGGACTGGGCTGACACCCCACAGGAGTGGAGCCAGAGCCCCGACAGAAGCGCTTTTGAAGGGCCCGTGGAGGGGAATCGACGTCAGTGGAACGTCTGATCAACCACCTTGCAAAAGCAACAAGATCCACTTTGTCCCCCGGCAGAGGCACGAACTGCTGCTTATTTACTCACTGCATCACTGCACTGGCGACCAAGCCAAGCCTGGCTCGGGCCCAGCTGGGTCAGGCTGCCCCGGGGGTCAGTGAGGCAGGAGGGAAAGGGGGAGCAGGGACCCCGGGCACAGCTCCGCGCCCCAGATCCGCCACGGGCCCAGGCCAGGGCAGCGGCGCGGGGCAGAGGAAGGTGCCAGCAGCAGCAGCTCCTGCTGCAGTTCAAAGCTGAGCAAACAGGGCTGATGCCACGTGGAGACCTGCTGAGGAGCGGGAAGCAGCCGTGGCACAGGGGTCACCTGGCACCGCTACAGCCACAGGAGAGCCGGGCGCTGCGCTAGTTCCCCGCTGGGTGACCCAGGTTGCTGGTTATGGCAGAGCACAAGGGTTCTGTTCTTCCCTAGCGCCTTCCAGGTCCTTATGGCTGGAAGAAGGGATAAGCTTGTGCCTAATAATGGATTATTAAGAAGCTGATGTACATGATGAGGAAAGAAGGGAGAGGCTCAAGCAATTGTGCCCAACTCATCTTTCTGCTCTCCTCACCGCATGCTCTCGAGAGAGCTGCCAGCTCCGGGATGTGCCCATCTCTGGAGGGACTTGTTGTGGTCAGTTTAGTGGAGAGGAGAAAGGAATTGGGGGAAACCCAACAAAATGTTGGCTGAAGTAGCACTGAGCACATCCATCACAGGAATCCGAGCTCCATGTGAAGCCTGACCTTAAAATTCCAACCACATGGCAATTAGGTTGGGATTAACATAACCTCGCTGTAGTCACTGGCAACAGGACCATAATCCTTTAACTAATGGAGAGTTTTGATTCTTAATTGTGAAAGGAATTTCTGAGGCACCTTAATGCAGCACTAATGAGAAAGCTACAGGCTGAGAGAGCACCTCAGGCGGCTTCCCTGCGGCGGGAGCACGAGGCTCACACTGTGAAGCCCCAGAAGGGCTCCCCATGTTGGGGGAAGAACAGGGCAAAGCGAAAACAGGAAAGCCCAAGAGATCATCCGATCCCACCACAGAATCCCAGCCTGGTTTGGGGTGAAGGGACCTTAAAGCTCCTCCAGCCCCAACCCCTGCCACGGGCAGGGACACCTTCCACTAGAGCAGGTTGCTCCAAGCCCCTGTGTCCAACCTGGCCTTGAACACTGCCAGGGTTTTCACAGCAGAGGGGCGGGACCCCCTCCCTGAGCTGCGTCTCATGCTCTGGGGGTGCACCCAGCACATGGGGGGGTTCTGGGCTCAAGCGCACACTGAAGCCGGGTCATGGGGAGCTTCCCATCACCCCAAGCCCCCACGCTTTGATGTGAGAGGCAGAGCACAAGGGTAGGGGATGTGTGAAGAGGCAGCACAAGCAGCGCAAAGCAAAGCAGAGGACGCAGCCTGGGTGCTGGCCCATGGGGCTAATGCCACCCCTCAGCCATCAGCTCAGGGGCAGGAGGAGGCAGCAGCCTCCCAGCACAGAGGGATGGGTGCTCTCTGTGCCAGGTGCCTCATGACCCTGCTGCAGCCACCAGAGCAGAAAGTTCCACATTCCTGGCACTT